TACCATTACATCAGTTTAAAATGGTCTTCAAACAATATTATCGTTTATCGCAATAATTCTTGAGACAATTAATCGTCCAGAAAAATTTGTTGTCGTGACAGACCTACTCTTACATGGTTTAGTTTTGGATTATGTTTGTGCTTGTGTATCAATGTGTTTTGCTTTTAAGCGTTTTTGACGTGTTTCGGTTCGGGGGGAGGGTTCAGAGAGGGTCTTTGGAGGGTTGAGTCTCTGTCTAGGCTGGTTTTTGAACACCTGCGTTCAGAAGGAGCCATGTTGTTACCTTCACATTAGATCAAGCAGCTCTTTTTGTAAGTGATCACATGTGCTTTAATGTTATGGAAACCTTTTGAATAAAAATTCAGAAGTGATCTTTCAAGCGTCCGAAAAAAATATAATAAGTTGATCGGTGCCATCTTTACAGTCCACAGATCAAAACAAACTTTATCCCGGTGGTTTTGTTGTGTTACCGATTGCAGTGAAGTTAGTTTTGAGTTGGATATTTAATATTACAATATCCGCCAAGCAAGCGGCTCTTAGCTCAAGGTTAGCTCAAGGTTAGCTCTTAGCTCCTTGAGCTAAGAGCCGCTTGCTTGGGGATTTATGAACAATAATTTCAGCCAGCCGTTCTCTCGCTCTCTTCTCAAGCACTCAGAGGTTCACTTAGGGACTGTCAACAAATCTCTGAACCAAACACTCCTGTCAAACTAATGTTAATAAATGCCTTGCCTTGTGACCAACTGATACAAAAAAGTGGTAATTCATGAGACATTTTAATACACTACTCTGTACTAAAATGTCAAGTCATATTCAATATTTTAAATAATTTTAATATTAAATAATATATTTTCTTCAGTAACTTCCATATTGTGTGCCACATTGACTAGAAATCAGTGTGTAATTGTACTAAACTGTATATATGGAGGCACATGCATTTTTATTCCATTTGAACTAAATTTTTATTTTTGTTACCTATTTTTATTTTTTTTAGCTTAAATTTAGTATTTCTCTTCAATAGCTTCTAGGTCATGTGACCTATTGAGTTAAAATCAGTGTGAAATTGTTCTTCCAGTCTGTAAAGATGAGGTACACTCATTGTTATTCGATTTGACACTTTTTATTCCCTGTCAATGCACAGCTCTACATTACCATGTCACCAGGTGACTCTGAACCCCTCCAGTCACTGAATAGATACTTAAAATAGATAAATGTGCCAAAACTTTCTGCAGCTGAACAGAAACAAAACTGAAGTTATTAAAGAGGAACAATCTTGAGTTATAGATCTAGAGTTGTAGATCTATAAGTAGTGATGGACTCTGACCCGAACCTTTAGAGCCACATTAAGACAGTCACAAAGTTGGCCTTCTATCACCTGAAGAACATTAGGCGACTTATGTCTCAGCAAGATCTAGAGAAACTCATCCATGCATTTATCTTTATTCGCATTGATTACTGCAACAGTGTCTTTACAGGTCTGTCCAACAAATCAATCCTCCAGCTGCAGCTGATCCAGGACGTTGCTGCTGGTGTTCTCACTAAAACCAGGAAGATAGAGCACATAACACCAGTTTTAAAGTTCTTACACTGGCTCCCTGTAGCTCAGAGAATAGACTTTAAAATATTGTTGTTAGTTTAAATCACTGAACATCTTAGCACCACAATACATTAAAGATCTGCTGTAGTTGTACCAACTTTCTGATTGGTTCTGGTTCTGGTCTGCTCTGCATCCCCAGAACCAGAGCTAAACAAGGCAAAGCAGCATTCCATCTATACACCACAAATCTAGAACAAATTTCCAGAAAACTGTAAAACAGCTGAAACACTGACTTCCTTTAAATCTCAACTAAAAACCCACCTGTTTAGAGTTATATTTGAAACATAATCAATTTACAAATTTACAAACCTTAATGTAAAATGTTTTTATTGTTGATTCTATGTTACATGACTTTGTGTTTTTAATGATGTAAAGACCTTTGAAAGGCTTTGCTGTTGAATTGTGCTATAAAAATTTAATTTGATTGTCAGTGGGTCACATGACACGTGAGCTATTAAACATCAGTCATATTTTTATAACGTAAACATTTTTTTTAAACATCTAAAATGGGAAAAATGAGTGTATCTCATCTGTACTGACTGGTCGTACAATTTCACACTAATTTTGACTGAATAGGTCACATGATCTAGAAGCTATTGAAGAGAAATACTTAATTTAAACTAGATAACAAAAATAAAAAATTAGTTCAAATGGAATAAAAATGCATGTGCCTCATCTATATAGTTTAGTACATTTACACACAGATTTCTAGTCAATGTGGCACACAATATGGAAGCTATTGAAGAAAATATTATATTACTTAATATTAAAAGTATTTAAAATGTTGAATATGACTTGACATTTTAATACAGGGTAGTGTGTCTCATGAATTACCACTTTTTTGTATCAGTTGGTCACAAGGCAAGGCATTTATTAACATTTGTTTGACAGGAGTGTTTGGTTCAGAAATTTGTTGACAGTCCCTAAGTGAACCTCTGAGTGCTTGAGGAGGGAGCTGGAGAATGGCTGGCTGAAATTAGCCATTGGAATATCCAATATCCAACTTGAAATTAACTTCACTGCAGTCAGTAACACAATAAAACCACCGGGATAAAGTTTGTTTTGATCTGTGGCCTGTAAAGATGGCACCGAGTGACTGCACCTAAGCACCTCACGTCTGACATAGTGACGTTGGTTCCAAAGCTCTATTGACCAATAGTAGAGGAGCTGGACATAGAAGCAGCTCTCCTTAATAACATAATGATGCAGGAGACAATGACAAAAGGAGGGCTTGTATAAGGAAAAGACAAAACAAATATCTACTTTTCTTGACAAAAACACATGTTTAGGGTAAATGAAAAAGAAAATATATACATTTCTTGACAGAAACGCATGTGTAAGGACAAGGAAAAACTACATATATATTTATGCTTTTATTTCTTATTATGTCAGTTTTGGTCCTCCATAGTCTTCACGCTGCAGGTCGGTATTACATCATGATCACTCCTGCGTTTGACCTGAGTCAGGATCCAGATTATCTAACCATCTGCATCAGAGTGCCTTACACCAGAACGTCAGAGTTTGACCTGTTCATCGATGGGGCAGACTTCAAGTTCTATGCAAAGCCCTACTTCCTTAGGTGAGTTGAGTAATATATTCTTACTAAAGTCACACTGCACAGTTGACCTGGGCTGACCTGAGGTGGACTGGCGAGCATTTTTGCATTAGCATGTCCAGCCTGGTCCCAACTGCTCCCTGCATCCCAGAGAGCTGTAGTTCCAGTCAGGCTTGCCAGACAAGGCTGGTTTGGAGTCAGTTGTTGATGGGTACATTGGCTGCAGGGGCGGGACAGAGATGTGCGCTCTTCCAGATCTCTGGGTCAAGGAGCGTTTGTATTTAGACTTTCTCAATGTCTGTTATAACATGAGGCATCAAAAAATTCCTGTCATAATCTATTCTTACCTGTAAGTTTGTAAATGATACTAATGACCAGAGTTTCCCCCAGAAAACTTGCTAAGCTCAGTGGTCGGGGCACCAAGGCAGTCCACCGTGTTTTTGTATTAAAAGATGTTAAGTAGACAGAAAAAGTAAAAATATTACTGGGTAATTATATGTTACGGGAAAACATCGCCAGTGAAATGCTGTCTAAACCCACAACTAGTCTTAAAAACAATAAATCAAAAAAATGCAATTAAAATGAACATTAATTATTTGCACTTCTGTTAAATACAAATTAAGTCAGCGGTTCCATGAGGCCTCCCAGGTCTTCAGGGGCCCATAAATGCTAATATTTTAACACAGACCACATGTACATAAATACAACATTTATTTATTGAGATTATCAATGCTGCTAAATTTGATTTAATGATTTCAGCATACATAAATTAAAATATTTTAAGTTGTTTAACATTTAAATGTAAGATTTTAAGGAACTGGCAAGTTTACTTTATAAAAGTTCAAAGAACAATATTCATCGTTAGATTGTTTTGTTACTACAGCTTCATTCTGATGCTGTGAGTTTAATCTTTGAGTTTGAGTTATGTTTGTTCACAAATACAAATTAGTAAACTGCAATTATAACTTATTGCTTTATAGGCTGGCCAATTAAACCACTCCCCTCTCCCAGATTTAACTAAATCTAACACAGAAGCTGTTAGATTTGCTGATGTTTTTAGCAGAAGAGGGGCCCTTAAGTCAAATTCTGCTCATGGCCTCATACAGCCTTGGACCAGCCCTGCATGATGAGTTAAATCCGCTGCACTGCGTGCAGAGATGCGCAACAAATGGGAGATTTAATTTAATGCTGCTAATGTAGTTTTAGTAACTCTTCCATTTCATGTCTGCTGAGTTTTTAATAGGAGCCACAGAAACTGTTTCGGTTTCTCAAGTTTATAGGACGAGTTTTTCAGATCTCCCCTTGGCCATGCACATTAACTCTAAGTGGAGAAAGCATTTGATATGGTTTAATGCTTTGTGTAACTGGAAAAATAATACTAAAAAATAAAATAAAATAATATAAAACAAGTGTGATGCGCAGGGCCGGCCTAAGCCTCCATGGGGCCCTAAGCAAAATTTGGTTTTGGGGCCTTCTAGTTCTGCTAACAACGTGGACCGGTTGCAATCAGCAGTCTGATCAATAGATCATTCACACACCTGCTATAAACTTATTGCATCTCTGACATTGCTGTTTACATTATATACACAGGGATTAAAGAGCTCCGGCCAGGGGCCGGATTTCCGGCTTTTGACCAAACGGTCCTCCTCAACCAAACTGTAGTCTCCGGGCTAGACCGGAACGTGTCGGCGGCGACACATTTAAATTTGCAGAACCGTAATTCCGCCACACATCTGAAAAATTCCAACGGTTTCTGAAAGGGGAGACGTTGCATTTTCCACTAAGTATCGGGTTAATACGGCAACTTCACAGCTGCAGCTGCAGAGAGTGTAATGGGCTCTTTGCACCTAAGGCGTTGACGTCACATCTCCAGGAGCTAATGCGGCTCACTTTTTTCCGCTTTGAGTTACCATGACTGGTAGAAAAGACTAAGTCGTATTTCAGATGCAAAAAACGCAATACTATGAACATTGTTGTCTTCCTAATGTAATGGGCTTTTAAGTTTTCGTTAATTTCCAAGCGATCCTGAATTAAGAAGATGCTGGCATGTAAATATTTGTCACTACCAGTTAAAGCTAACGCTGCACAACACAAAGTTTGCAGCCTTCACTTCACTCCGGATCAGCCTAAAACTACCGGGGATACGGATGGAAAATAAAGGAACCTCCCTGAGTTATTTCCATGGAATCACTTCTGTATTCAGCCTCAAAAAGCGAGTGTATGGGAACGAGAGAGCAGACCAGAGCCAGACAGCCGAGCAACTGATCCGCCTGTACATACTGCTGTAAACACCGTCCTATCTGAGCTCTGAACAAGAAACACGCAAAGGTAATAAAACGAAATAACACGGAGACATAAGCAGCAACTTTGAACCTGAACAGCTGAACCAGATCTCTTGACACCAGAGCTGCTACTGTTAAGCTATGAGGCTTGTTGAGCTCCGTCAGGCTTCGGAAGTAAAAAGTCCGAACCGTAACCTCCCCGTTAGTCTGTGACACTTACGACAACAAACACACATAATATACTTGAAAATAAGAAAAACATTGTCCGTTAGAATGTTTAGATACTTAAATAGCACATTTTTACAAGAACAATGTCCGAGAATATTGCCTACTAGTACAAGCTAATGATAATGTTAGCCACAAAGTTTAAGTAAAACTCACCTTCGTATCACTAAATGTATGAGGCATACATCTTAAAACCTTTCTCCAGCTTACTTGTTGGGGCTTCGGATCGATGTACAAACCTTGGCCAAGCCCTGCAAGCACCTAATGTAAAAGGCCATTTTCAATAGATCAGAAACAATCGAGCCGCTTTTCCCCAAACGCGGAAGCTGAGGTGCAAAGAGACCATTAATCCGGGGGGCACTCGTTTAATAGACGGTAAATTGCGAAAATAACTTGCTGGATATTGAAAGTTCCGGTTGTTATGGATACACGGGTAAGTATATAATCTCACAGGACATTTAAAAAACTACTTACAATTAAAATAAGGAAGATTTATTTAGTCAGACGTTTGAAACGTAGGTGTAAAGAGATCCGTCTGGGGGCATTGGACCAAACGGCCCGCCTCAACTAAACTGTAGATACAAAGATGTCTGCCAATCAGAATTCTAGCTCCCGTGTTCTTGACCAATGACTGTAAAACGTTTTGTAGAAAAGAAGTTCGGTTAAATCAAATGCGATATGAAAGAAGCTCGAGTTTGTCTCACCCGGTAAAGAAACACGTTTACTTGAGAAAGGAATTAAAAACAGGTGGTGCTGGGCAAAGGAAAGGGGACAAGACGGGAAGCTGGCGAAAATTTTTACAAAAGGGGGGCTTTTAGGAAGTTGCTCAAAGTCTAAACTGGTATTGTTGTGATTGTAAGATGTAAAGTTTACCTTCGACCTTTAATGGCATTAAAAGGAACTTTTGTTTTTCCACTGAAAGCTCTGGTTTGCACAATAAATGCCATGTGGGTGAAGTTTTATGGATGATACTCTGATGTCCCATTCTCCTGAAGGCAGCACAGAGCTGCACCACCAGAAACTTACAAACACCGAAGAGAAGAAGAGCTATGATTAATGTAGTTACAGTTCTATCCGTGTTTTAATGCTGCAGAGCTCAGTCGGTTTGTAAATAGATCAAAGTTTAAACTGGCATGTTGTTCATCTTTTATCTGTTCATTTTGTGGAATATTTAACAAATAGAAAATGGCAAAGAACAAGAATATTTTTTCCACTCTGATTGGCTGCTGTTAGGCCTACAAATTTTAAGTTGAATGTCCATTGCATTTTTCGTAGACGCCTGTGAAAATAATTTATATTCCCATGGCTTTTTTGTTCTCTGGGAAATTATCTCGATGATAAATACAGAAAGAAGCATAAAAATCAAAACATC